ACTACTACTACTACTACTGCTAATACTACAGTCGACATGTTCCTCTTCTATTTTTTGCTTTTTCCATCACTACCACTATTTATTTCTTCTTTTGTCGATATTGTTTTCTTTCCTTACTGTCAACATAATATTCTTCTTCTTCTCCTTTTTCTTCTTCTTCTTCTTCTTCTTCTTCTTCTTCTTCTTCTTCTTCTTCGTTCTCTTTGATCACTGCTAACAAGTTCTTTTTATTCTTCTTTCCTATAACTTTCTTCCTTTTCTTTTTATTTAATGCTTTTCCTCATCAATCCTTTCATCCTCCTTCTCATTCTTTATTCTTTTACTCACAAAAACTTCCATTATTCTTCTTCTCTTTTTGACACCTGAATGTTTTCCCTTTACAGTCCATTGCTTAATAATTCATAATCTGAAAAACAATGTGTCTTCGAGCCAGTAACAACTTTCCAATGCAATTGCAAGATGTCTTCCCATCCTTGTATTCTCGCTTTCTCTCATTAAATCACTTCCGGACATTCACGGTGTAGAGCACGAGACAAACGACCTTCGAAATGAAACATTCTCATCTCTCATGTTTCCAATGGAATACGTTTTAAATTAGTATTTGAAAACACACAAAAGAAGCGAGAATGACATTCTAGCAAGACTCACAATCACTCCTCGCTTCATAACACTGATGTCACTATATTTTGTTTAATCATTTCACCCCCCGAAAGACGATAATGCCACTAGAAAGCAGGAGGTTAAAGGGAGTGAAAGTGAAAGTGAAAGTGAAAGTGAACATAAAATTTCAGAATTGGGCGGATTGAGGAAAAGATAAAAATGCGGTCAACAAGACGGAAAAGTGCAATTGGCGTCGGATTTCAATTTTTGAATATTGTAGTTATCAGGGAAGCAAGAAATCGGAAGGGAGTCCCACAGCTGGGAAGGGTGAGAAAAGAAACTGTTAGGGTAGAAGTGTCATCTATAGCTAGGTTGTTAGACAGTAAAACGGTGATACCTAGTTGCCAATCTAGTAGCATGTTGAATGTAGTCGGGGCAACAGGGGCAAGAAAGCTCGTCAGAGCAGTTGCCATGAAAATATAGGCTGACCCCAAAAATGGGAACTTTTTAACAATCCACTAAAACCAAAAGTGATGGAAGAAAAATATTTTATTCATAGTAATTGAAATCTTAAAATATGCCATTTAAGAAACAATGATGGAATTTTCATTTTTTAAAAAATTACGTCCTGTAGATGGCGTCCTCCTGTACGAATGCATTCTTGAAATCTGATGTTGAGATTCCTCATTGACTGTTGCAACATCTCAGCTGGGATACTGTGAATTTCATCTCTAATTCTAAATGGCGAAATGTTTACTTGCTCAAGGTCACTGTCTCGCAGTGTTGCCACTCGCTCATGTCTGACAATACGCACTTCAAAAATTCCCGTTTTTTGAGGTCACCTTGTATTTGTAAACAGCAGGAATCTGTTGTGGCCTGTTTAGGGGCGAAAAAGAAAGACACGAAGATGAAGGTAGGTTGAACAATTGTATTGAAATAACAGATATATACAAAGCAAGAGTGTTAGTAATAAGCAGATAGAGGTGTACGTCCGAACGGTAGGTTAACACTGTGTCTCCGACTCCCCAACGACTCCTCAAGTTAGTATTTATGAGAGGAGGAAGAGTTCATTCTACTGTAGGAGGGTTTACCACAACAGAATCCACATCACGTTGGTAAGAAAGCGTCTGAAGTCGAGATGCCTGGTTAAGATCTATTATATTGCGGATGTTTCTTTGGATTTTTTCAATGCCATCGAGATTTATAGAAGCAGCACCAGACCAGTTACGGCAGCAGTATTCAATGCACTGATGAATGGTAAGATTTGTAAATATACCAGATGCATACGCGACCTGGGTAAAACGATAAACTGCATCCGGCTTTGTGGTCTCTAATCGGGAGGTTATGAGGAACGTGCAATCGACTCTTGGTTGCTGGTGCTCCCGGGCTCGCCCTGACTCGGGGTGCAGGCGCAAGTTGAGATCCTAGCTCTGGGCAAATACTTAACCCCGACACCTCCATAAAATGGGGTCAAAGCAATGTGAACATGCAATTTTATTTTATTTATTTTTTTTACCAGCAATGCATTTTGGTAAGAAATTGTTGCCAGCAGTAGGTCTGGGGGGAAAGATTATTACCAGCAACGCATTACCAGAAATGCATATTGCCATCTTTGAGGGAATGGACATTACCAGCAATACATTTTGAAGAAGAAATATTGTTGGCACTATATTTTGGGTGAAGAATATTGCCGGTGATAGATTTTTGGATCAAAATATTACCAGCAATGCATTTTTGTGGAAAAAAAAATATATTAGCCGCAATACATTTTTGAAAAAATTATTACCAGCAATAAAAGTCTTGTCGGCATTAAATAATGCATTGAGGTTGATATGCCGTAAAACAAACCAAACCAAACTATTATATATACTGAGATAGATAGATAGATAGATAGATAGATAGATAGATAGATAGATAGATAGATATGAAAAGAGTGAAAGGAAGAGATTCAGATAGATAGATAGTGTTGAAACTTGAATAAAGCATGGAATAATAATAATACAACACAAAATGTACTTAGAACAAAATGTATTGAAACAAGAAAGTGTACACAATATTTACATATAGTCTTTTGGCATATTCTTGGGAAGACCGTTCCTGTAGAATGGGTTGACTTAGTCGCAGTCAGGCAGAGTCTCTGGATTGGATCTCTTCTTCCTCACCCTCGTCTTCCCGGCACCAACCATATTTATATGGTCGGTACTCCACTATGTAAATTAGGTGGATCGTACCACAACAGATAGATAGATAGATAGATAGATAGATAGATAGATAGATAGATAGATAGATAGATAGGAACAGATTGAAAGGAAGAGATTCAGATAGATAGATAGATAGATAGATAGATAGATAGATAGATAGAAAGAGATTCAGATCGATATATATATATATGAACAGATTGAAAGAAGAGATTCAGATAGATAGATAGATAGATAGATAGATAGATAGATAGATATGAACAGTCTGAAAGGAAGAGATTCAGATAGATAGATAGATATGAACAGTATGAAAGGAAGAGATTCAGATAGATAGATAGATAGATAGATAGATAGATAGAAAGGAACAGATTGAAAGGAAGAGATTCAAATAGATAGATAGATAGATAGATAGATAGATAGATAGATAGGAAATATTCCGAGCAATAAAAATCTTGTCGGCATTAAATAACCCATTGAGGTTGATATGCCGTAAAACAAAACAAACCAAGTAAAGCAAACCAAGATGGATACTGACGAAAAAAATTCTGCCTTGACACACTGAAGCAAAAGAAATTACAAAGAAACCAAAAGGATAGCATGTACATTACTACGGGATAAACGCAGGGAACATTCGGTATTCATTGATTAAAAAGTTACCGTTACCATCGATTGAAATTTATAAAAAAAAAATATTTCATAAAACAATCTTTCAAGAAACTGGGAAGAAATCTATTGACGTCGCCATTTGTATCCCTTTGTGTGTGTTTCTATTATCAAATGGATTTCATCAAATATATCTTAACATACCCAGTGAATTTTAGACTCTGTCTGTCACTAGAGTTGTCTCCCTTGCTTTGATGATTTGTCTAAACACTTAAAAACCCATACATAGTAAGAATAATCGTGAGAAGAGCCGTTTTGATACTGGCAATATGAGACGTTCATTGACCGAACAGTTCTCAACCTTCTGTAGGTTATTTAAAGCCAGAAAATATTTTTAGATTGTAAGAATTTTTAGAGATAATAATTATTTAATGAAACTATTAATAAACTATAGCTGGTGGGGAGTTGAGGTAGATTCATACTTTTACCAATCGTATTTGCGCGTAGGTAAATAATAATTGTGAAAAATAACCGTTTCTATGCAGGAAACTTTCGGTATTCACTGATTGAAAAGTGTTTTTACCGTCGGTTGAAATTTAAAAAAACTTTTCTCATAGAAGACTTTTTTTCCAGGAAAATCAACTTCTCAAGTCCAATAACTGTTATTACTCTTTCTAGTACTGATGGATGTTTCCGTCCTAGCCTTTTATTTAAGGTAGTTTGGAAAGCAATTATCATTATTCAACTTCTAGTTACATGTGATAACATTTTCGTTTTTGTCGATGTTGAAATTTTCACGTGATATTATTTGATAAATATCTCCATTTTCCGTTATATCGCGCCAGTCTACGATATCCGACGGTGGACTCTTCTCTTCTAGACTCTCAGAGTTCATACCCTTGTAAACATTTTTAATGACGGATCTGAGAAAATGCAGCTTGTAGCTTAGATGTTACTCTACGAGTCAGACACCATGCATAGCATCCATCTGAAATAATAGATCGGACCTGGCTATTTTCGAACATAACTAGCAATCTTGGGCCAGTTGTTTAGTGTGGCTAGACGTCCGATTGATTCAAGCCGAGATCGAAACCCGACCGATTTGGCATCCGTCAGAGATCCTCCCCCAAGGGTATCATCGCACTGCAGAGAGAAATACGCCAGTGGCCCTAAGATTTGAACATAAAAGTGTATTACCGTCGGTTGAAATGTATAAAACCTTTCTCATAAAAGCCTTTTTTTCCAGGAAAATCAACATCTCAAGTCCAATAACTGTTATTGCTCTTTCTAGTACTGATGGATATTTCCGTCCTAGCTTTTTATTTAAGGTAGTTTGGAAAGCAATAATCAGTATGCCACTTCTAGTTACATGTTTTAGTTTTTGTCGGTGTTGAAATTTTCAGGTCATGTTACCTGATAAGTATCTTGATTTTCCATTATATCGCGCCAATCTATGACATCCAACGATGGGCTCTTCTCTTTCAGACTATCGGAGTTCATTCCCTTGTAAACATTTTTAATCACGGATCTGTGAAAATGCAGCTTGTATCTTAGATGTTTCTCTACGAGTCAGACGCCATGCATAGCATCCATACGATCGGACCGAGGTATTTTCGAACGTAACTATCAATCTTGGAACAGGGTGTTGGTTTTGTAGCACCTTGAATAAAACTATCCCTATCACACCCTATCCTGAGTTCAATTTCCTTATCCCGTACAATCATGGTTTATAACCGATTCATACACCAATGTATTTGAAGCGTAGCTACCTTGTGTTCATACCCAAACATGGGAAGGACTTGGGGAGTAAGTCCTG